TTGTCGCACATTTCAGATGATAAATCCACTAGAGGGCGCTGTCTATATTTTTTGCAAACCTTATATTACTAAGAGTACGTTTGGTTGTACATTTCATAAAAGCACTGTAAAATCAGAGTCAAACTTCATTTTCACAATAGATCTGAATGTTTTTTTCCAGTCCAACTAGAGTTTCTAGCATATCTACAATCGCTTCTTTCTGAAAGGATTCCAGAGCTCAACTTGACCTTTACCATTCCTGTTTACTGTCTTTTCATAATTACGTTACGAGCTGAGAAAATGGCTGCTTATTGTTGGGACTTTTGTCAGAGTATTTATAAAGCTTTGAAATTTGCATCACCTGGCCTTTTGGTAACAATGACTGTGAACAAGCATAGACTGAGCAAACTAATGTCTGAGACTTTGGCAAAGGTTATCTGAGAGCTCCAGTCTCTAGGGCCGCATTGCCTTTCTTTTTGTGCGCTCAAATTGTACAAAACCAAATGAAGATATGGGATTAGTTCATTTACACAGAAGTGAGTTAACTTGAAACTGTTAAATCGACTCTATACTATAGACCGAGCTCTCCTGACTTTGGCATCAGAGTTTTCAGAAATACCTCCTCTGGGAATCTGGCTTTCTTGCTTCCCACATTCTGGGTTCTAAGATTAGTTGCTTTATTGTGGTGCCAGTGCTGACCGCTCTGACCCCTGTGGGATTATTGGGTCGGTTCTGATAGCTGATCTCAGAACTGTCCGTCTACAACCCCTAAATTCTGGATTTTCTTCCAGTATGAGACAACTGAACTGTGGGCAAGTGTCCATGGTAACCCGCTAATGTTATCTATCTGTCTACACTCTAAAATATACTGGGTTGTTGTAACAGAATGTTTGGGTCATATATGGCCAATATACATTATATATATATATATATATACACACCATCCATTTACTCCATCCATCCCTCCATCTATCCATCTGTCCATCCGTTCATCTGTCCATCTGCCCATCTATCCATCAACCCACTCATCCACCCATCATCTATCTGTCTGTCCATCCATCCATCCATCCATCCATCCATCCATCCATCCATCCATCCATCCATCCATCCATCCATTTGTCCATCCATTCATCCGTCCTTCTGTTTATCTAACTGTCCATCCATCTATCCATCTATCTGTCCATCCATCCATATATCCATCCAACCACCCACTCTCCCATCCATCCATCCATCCATCCATCCATTTGTCCATCTAACCACCCACTGTCCCATCCATCCATCCATCCATCCATCCATCCATCCATCCATCTATCTGTCCATCCATCCATATATCCATCCAACCACCCACTGTCCCATCCATCCATCCATCCATCCATCCATCCATCCATCCATCCATCCATCCATTTGTCCATCCAATTGTCCATCCATCTATCAATCTATCTATCCATCCATCTATCTGTCCATCCATCCATATATCCATCCAACCACCCACTCTTCCATCCATCCATCCATCCATCCATCCATCCATCCATCCATCCATCTATCTGTCCATCCATCCATATATCCATCCAACCACCCAACCACCCATCCACCCACCCATCCATCCATCCATCCATCCATCCAACCATCCATCCATCTATCCATCCACCCATCCACCATCCATCCATCCATCCATCCATCCATCCATCCATCCATCCATCCAACCATCCATCCATCTATCCATCCACCCATCCATCCATCCATCCATCCATCCATCCATCCATCCATCCAACCACCCACTCTCCCATCCATTCATCTATCCATCCATCCATCCATCCATCCATCCATCCATCCAACCAATTATCCATCCATCCAAAATCCATCCAACCACCCACTCTCCCATCCATCTATCTGTCCATCCATCTATCTATCCACTTGTGGATATGACTTGTACCTGGCAAAAACTCTTTTGTTGCGGGTGTGCTGGGTGTGTGATAGAGCCCTATTTGTTTTCAAATGTGTTGAACAAAATCTTCTCTCCATAAAACAGCACTTAGGAAATATTGGAAAAATAAAACACATTTCACAGTAGCACTAATCATAGTTGCCTTCAATTGCATTCATTTGCTCAGTCCTACAACACTGCAGCTTAACCCATATCATAACCATCTCTCAGGTCTGTTTATTTCCCTGAAACGCCATCGACGACAATAAATCAGAAACCTTCCAATCCCAACAAATAATGTGCCATTGTGAGTAGAGTTTGCCGAAACAATGCTTCAGCATGATAAGGCCTCATTTCCAGAGGTGTGACAAATCCTGAGGGAGCTCAGACCTCATACAAAACACCATACACAGAGCGGGAAATATTTGTCCTACTCTGAGGGCCAAGAAAAGCTGTTTATTGTCCAGCTGAAACATAAGAGCTCTAAATACACACAATGGCTCATTGAGTGGTCTTAAACGTGCAGACTGACAGCCCACTTTTTACTTCTCCTCACATTTTCTTCAGACTCTACTGCTATTTTGTTTTAATACACTGTAAAAAATGCTGGGTTCCACACAATGTATTCATGTTGTCCCAACACAAATCGATTAATTTAACTTAACACATTCAAGTGGATTAAATTGATTTTTGGGATTGTAAAAAAAAGTTTCAGCTTATTTTAGAGGCACAAAAAAATCTGTTATTTTATGATTTTTTTTTCAGCAGCTGAGATGCCGAAAAAACTTTAATTAACGGACGTTAAATTCAGACATATACCATAAATTTTTTAAAAAAAATTATTTACTGTAAAATAACAGACATTAAATTACAGACATTTACCGTAAAATAACGGGCGTTAAATTACAAACATGCACCTTAAAATAACGGACGTTAAATTACAAATATGTACAGTAAAATTATAAACATTAACTTGCAGACATTTACTGTAAAATAACACATTAAATCACAGACATTTACTGTAAAATAACAGGCGTTAAATTACAAACATTCACCTTAAAATAACGGACGTTAAATTACAAATATGTACAGTAAAATTATAAACATTAAATTGCAGACATTTACTGTAAAATAACACATTAAATTACAGACATTTACCGTAAAATAACAGGCGTTAAATTACAGACATTTACCGTAAAATAACAGGCGTTAAATTAAAGACATTTACCGTAAAATAACAGAAGTAAAATTCAGACATTTACCGTAAAATAACAGACGTAAAATTCAGACATTTACCGTAAAATAACGGGCGTTAAATTACAAACATTCACCTTAAAATAACGGACGTTAAATTACAAATATGTACAGTAAAATTATAAACATTAAATTGCAGACATTTACTGTAAAATAACACATTAAATTACAGACATTTACCGTAAAATAACAGGCGTTAAATTACAGACATTTACCGTAAAATAACAGGCGTTAAATTAAAGACATTTACCGTAAAATAACAGGCGTTAAATTACAGACATTTACCGTAAAATAACAGACGTTAAATTAAAGACATTTACAGTAAAATAACAGACGTAAAATAACAGAAGTTAAATTACAGACATTTACCGTAAAATAACAGACGTTAAATTACAGACATTTACTGTAAAATAATGGGCGTTAAATTACAGACATTTGGTGTAAAATAGCAGACGTAAAATTTTGACATTTACCGTAAAATAACAGGCGTTAAATTAAAGACATTTACAGTAAAATAACAGACGTAAAATAACAGAAGTTAAATTACAGACATTTACCGTAAAATAACAGACGTTAAATTATAGACATTTACTGTAAAATAATGGGCGTTAAATTACAGACATTTAGTGTAAAATAGCAGAGGTAAAATTTTGACATTTACCGTAAAATAACAGACATTAAATTACAGACATTTACAGTAAAATAACAGAAGTTAAATTATAGACATTAACCATAAATTAATAGACGTTAAATTACAGACATTAACTGTAAAATAATGGGCGTTAAATTACAGACATTTAGTGTAAAATAGCAGACGTAAAATTTTGACATTTACCGTAAAATAACAGACATTAAATTACAGACATTTACAGTAAAATAACAGAAGTTAAATTATAGACATTAACCATAAATTAATAGACGTTAACTTACAGACATTTACTGTAAAATAATGGACGTTAAATTACAGACATTTACTGTAAAATAATGGACGTTAAATTACAGACATTTACTGTAAAATAATGGACGTTAAATTACAGACATTTACTGTAAAATAATGGACGTTAAATTGCTGGTAAAACAATTGCTGCACAAGGGCTGATTGAGTGGTCTGAGGCTGCAGACAAACAGCCCACTTTCTGTTTCTCCTCCTCTGGGTTGTGTTTTGAGCTGCTGGGTCGTCCAGCCTGTTCACTTCGTCTGCAGGCCAGGAAGTGTAATGTGACTCCAGCTCCTTAATCCCACATGGCCAAAGAAGTCCAGCTGAGCCTTTACACACACACACACACACACACACACACACACACACACACACACACACACACACACACACACACACACACACACACACACACACACACACACACACAAACACACACACACACACACATATACACACACAAACATATATATGTATTCGCACACACATGAATATCCATATATACACACACACAAACATATATATGTACACACATACAAACACACACACACACAAAAATATATGCACACAAATATATATATATACACACACATATATATATGTTCACACACACACATACACACATAAATGTACATACACACGCAAACATATATGTACACACACACACACACACACACACACACACACACAGAGAGAGAGAGACACACAAACACACTTATACTCTCTCTCTCTCTCTCTCTCTCTCTCTCTCTCTCTCTCTCTCTCTCTCTCTCACACACACACACACACACACACACAATGGCCTGCAGCAGGCGGTGAGGATTAGCTGGTTGTGGATCTGGAATGCTGCATTACTTTTCCTGCTGTATGATGATGGTGAATGTGTGTGTGTGTGTGTGTCCGCAGCTGAGCGCCAGCTCCGAGTGCAGCTGTGACGTGGGTCCAGACGGGACCAAGAAGAAGAAATCCAAAAACCTGTAAGTCCCGCTGCTCTGTTTCTCTCTCCCCGTGTGTGTGTGTGTGTTTACTGTTGAGGACTGCTGAGAGTTTTCCAACACTCATGCTGGTTTGATGTGTTTGAGAGTTTTGGTGTTGTGTTAATATCTCTCAGTTGCTCTTTAGTTCTTCTGCTATTCTGCTTTTAGTGTGTTTCTTGTTTTACTGGTTGTGTTTCCCCCACCTGGTTTAGTAAGGGTGCAGTTTTAGTGCTTTACTAGTTAGATTTACCCTGGCTTTAGTGCTTTCCTACATTTTTGTGGTTCAGTTTTAGTTTTCCCCTAGTTTCGTGGTTTCTTTGATTTGATTCTTTGGTTTTGTGGGTTTCTAGTTTATTTATTTATTTATTTATTTATTTATTTATTTATTTATTTATTTATTTATTTATTTATTTAAATAATTAGTTGTTTGTTTGTTCATTTTCCTTGGTTTTTTTGGTTTCTTTGATTTGATTCTATGATTTAGTGGGTTGATGTAGCAGAATGAACCGCCAACTTATTCAGCACGTTTTTACGAATGCCCTTCCAGCCGCAACCCATCCCTGGGAAACTATTTATTTATTTATTTATTTATTTATTTATTTAAGGTTTGTTTATTTATTTAATTATTTACTTATTTAGTTGTCTGTTCATTTGTTTGTCTGTTTATTTGTTATTTGTTTATTTGTTGTTTGTTTATTTGTTTGTTTGTTTGTTGCCTCTGGTTTTAGTGGTTTCTAAAAATGTATTTATTTAGTTTTTGTGGGTTTCTAGTTTGTGGTTGTTCATTTATTTATTTATTTATTTTGTTTTATTTTACTTGTACTTATTTATATCTCCCCTGGTCTTAGCGGTTTACCAGTTTTAGTTTTTCTTAGGTTTATTGGTTTCTTTGATTTTATTGTAGATTGTGTTTGATTATTATTTGATCAATTAGTTAGTTTATTATTTATTTATTTATTTATTTATTTATTTATTTATTTACTAATAAATTACTAAATTGGCCGTAGTGTAATTGTGAAATTTAGTGTCTATGGGTGTTTCCCCAGTACTTGGTTGCAGCTGAAAGGGCATCCGCTGTGCAAAAAATATGCTAAATAAGTTGGCAGTTCATTGCACTGTGGTGACCCCTGATGAATAAAGTGACAACGCCGAAGAAAAATGAATGAATGAATGAATGAATGAATGAATGAATGAATATTAGGTTTCTATTTTTAGATTTTTTTATTTGTTTGCTTGTTTTTGTTTTAGGTTTCCCATAGTTTTATTAGATTCATTTTATTTTTATTTTTGTGGTTTACTAGTTTTAGTTTTTCCCCTGGATTTGAGTGGTTTCTTTGGTTTGACTCTTTGCTTTAGTGGGTTTCTAGTTTGTATGTACACAGAACCCACTGGATTCTGATTGGTTGTAATTATATTTAATGCTAATGTTATGATAATGTGAAGGTGATTGAAACTATATAATTTCTCTGGGTCTGTAAAGTCGTGATGTGGATGCGGCTGTGTTGTCCTTTTTTTTTTTATCAAGAACCATTTTTAATATATATATAGTTTAAGTCAGAAATATTCACCCCCTTTTATTTTCTTTTTCTTTTTTAAATTTTGCCCAAATTCATGTTTAACAGAGTAAGGAAATGTTAACAGTATGTCTGATAATATTTTTTCTATTGGAGAAAGTCTTATTTGTTTTATTTCGGCTAGAATAAAAGCAGTTTTGAATTTTTTAAAAGCCATTTTAAGGTCAATTTTATTAGCCCCTTTAAGCTATATATTTTCTCGATAGTCTACAGAACAAACCATTGTTATACAATAACTTGCCTAATTACCCTAACCTGCCTAGTTAACCTAATTAACCTAGTTAAGCCTTTAAATGTCACTTTAAGCTGTATAGAAGTGTCTTGAAGAATGTCTAGTCTAATATCATTTACTGTCATCATGGCAAAGAGAAAATAAATCAGTTATTAGAAATGAGTTATTAATACTATTATGTGTAGAAATGTGTTGAAGAAATCGTCTCTCCGTTAAACTGAAAGTGGGGGAAAAAATAAACAGGGGCTAATAATTCTGACTTCAACTGTATGTACATCTTAAACATTACCATTATACTCTGTGAGTCTGTGTGTGTGTGTGTGTGTGTGTGTGTGTGTGTGTGTGTGTGTGTGTGTGTGTGTGTGTGTGTGTGTGTGTGTGTTATCATATAGTGAGGTGTGGATTGTATTGAAGAGTCTCTGTATTTTTAACACCTCCAGAACAGTAGACCGGCTCCTTTTGCCATCGTGTCCAGCGTTTACTGTGAATGGTGAGCTCAACACAGTTGACTGTCTGAAATTCGGGGAATCGGAACTGTCTGCAATACTGTCTGGAGTTACAGTCTCAGGGAGAAAATAAAGAAAGTTGCTAATTTTGGTTTGTGTCTTGTGTTTTTAATGAGCACGGCGGATCAGTGGTTGTCACCGTGGCTTCACAGCAAAAAGGTCACTGGTTCGAGTCACTGCTGCAGTTAGTTTGCAGCTGTTCTGGTTCAGTTGTTTCAGCTGGACTCACAGTAACACTAAACTCAGCGATGGATTCACTTTCATACATCATGTGAAAGTAGGAGACTAGAAACACAACTCACATGAGCACACTACAAAGCAGGATATACAGTGTTGTGGTGCTTCTGAAGTCGTTAAAGGGTCATGAAACCCCCTCGTTTCATCAGGGTGTTTTCACACCTCTACTTTGGAAAAAGTCAGAAAAGTGGGCGTGTCCAGCTCTGTTTAGGGGGGAGTGTCGGAGGAAGAAAAGTGGCATGGTGTGGGAGTGTCTATTTGGGCATGCGCGAGTTTCAGAGTCAAAACACACACACAAGAGAAAGTGATGGTGTTTAACCTACATGGACATCTGTAGTCGAATTATTTGCCAAATTATTAAATGGTGGACTTTAACTGCAGTTTGGCTCTTTCATTCAGGGAATTCAGTCATGTCCCTCGCGACAAATGAGATATTTGATTCGAGGATCTGCTCTAAGCGTGTATTTTTCATGCAATGTTTGATACCATTAGGCGAATGAGAGAAAAAAACCCTCCGCATTTCCCGGAAACTTAGATGCACACGGCAGGTAGCGTCAGAAAGCCGCGTGTGTTATTCCGGTCACAAAATGCGGTGAAAATCCTACACGAGGTTAAAGTTTGGTTGTGGTGCTAACATGTTTACACTTGGTGCAATAGTTAACGTTAGTTCGATACGAACAAACTGAATAAACAAAGAGCACTGGTCGCTCACTTACCAAATCTGTAGAGACAGAACAATCACCAGCAACTAGAGCCGCGTCTTTATTAAGAGGAGACTACAAGTGAATCCGGATCTCAGCGTTTGCAGATGAGAACAGCTCTCAGGTAAACAATGTTCCTCCTTAGACACGTAAGTTATTGTTGTCGAGCGTCGCGTACACTGTTAATCCACACGTGACTCCAGCTGAGCTCTCACAGAGAGAAAATGAGAACGAAACTTAACTGCAGCAAACTATAGAAGCAACACTTCACGCTTGTTTTGCCAACACATCGTGGCGTCTCTGCCGTCTAAACACGGTGACAGTAATGAATATTAATGAAGTTGCACAATAGAGCGCGCTGATTGGTTTGAACCAAGCTTTACTCATGCATTAATGCAGCACACTGTAAGACGTAATAAGACACACTCTGGCACAGACGTCCAGTCTGCACGCTGGAATACACACTATTATGTCATGACCGTGACGCAGCTTCAAAAATTCACTTCAAACTGGAAGTACGAATTTGCTTGAAATAACGCAAAAACAACCAATTTACACTTTTTAGTGAAATATAGGTGTCCTAATAGTGTTTTTAGCAGTGTGGGACACATATACGACTGTCAACAGCTCAACACATGTGTTTTGGTGTTTCGTGACCCTTTAAACTCCTTAAAAGTGCACTGTGATCATTTTTTATTTAATTTTGTGTCTTAATAATTTGACTCCGGGTGTCACGGTTGCGCAGTGGGTAGCACGTTTGCCTTACAACCAGAAGGTCGCTGGTTTAAGTCTTGCTGTTGGCGTTTCTGTGTGGAGTTTGCATGTTCTCCTCGTGTTGGCGTTGGTTTCCTCTGGGTGCTCCGGTTTCCCCCACAGTCCAAATACATGAGGTAAAGGGGAATTGAATAAACTAAATCCGCCGTAGTGTGAATGTGAAAGTTTATGGGTGTTTTCCAGTACTGGGTTGCAGCTGGAAAGGCATCTGCTGTGTAAAACATATGCCGGAATAGTTGGTGGTTCATTCTGCTGTGGCGACCCCTGATAAATAGCCGTCACTGACTCTGTTTGCTAGTCCTTTGACCCAACGCTTCAAGCTAATGTGTTGTGAAATGATCCGACATGTTTAGCAGCCATCGGCTTCCCGGATCGGCTTGCGGGATTAAAGCTGAATAGTGCTCTGACTTGCTGGACGCTGTATCGTCTCTTCTCCCTCTTAAAAGCCTGCGATATTTTAATCTGCTTACAGACGCTCGTTTTAAGTGATGTTTAGAAAACTACGTGACCAAAGCATATTGATGATGATGCACACACACACACACACACACACACACACACACACACACACACACACACACACACACACACACACGCACACAAATTTGTATCCTTAATATGTCACAAAAACATGCACACACACACAAAAACATGCGCACACACACACACACACACACACAAATTTGTATCCTTAAAATGTCACAAAAACATGCACACACACACAAAAACATGTGCACACACACACACATACACACACAAATTTGTATCCTTAATATGTCACAAAAACATGCACACACACACACAACACACATACGCACACACACACACACGCACACATTTGTGTCCTTAATATTAAATAAAAACATGCACACAACACACACACACACATACACAAACAGACAGACAGACACACACACACACACAAATTTGTGTCCTTAATATGTAACAAAAACATGCATACAACACACACACACAC